GAAAACAATATATGTCCAATATGAGCCATCGATGTTTTCTCAAAAACTAAACTAGTTGGTATTGGTATTTTGCCTTGAGGCAAGTTACATGAACTTCCCGATTTGTGTAAATAATTGACATAATCCATAAATTATTTTATGAGTAGTTAAAAGTATTCGAAGTGGATTTTTTAAAAGCAAATTTTCAAAAATCAATAATTATTATAATTTTGCCAGTTTTTTGTATGACTTTAATTGTTTAGCATGTTTATTAAGACCAAGTACTCTATCGTTATACCAAGTAAATCTTCTAATTTTAATTTCAACAAATGTCAAAGAAACTACTCATTTTCTCAAACTTCGATGAATTTTTAAAATTAAACGACTTGTCGTAAGGCCGTAATATTTCAGTAAGTTCTATAAGACCATGATATATATCGTCAAAAAAGTTCCATGAAAAACGGCTTAATTTTATTTTTCAACAGTTAATTACAAGAAAACGGCTGGTAGATTTTCACCTAAAACTAATAGGTATCATTCCTAACTAATATCTTTCGAACAGTTATTGATTTCTTAAAATCGATTCGGAAGTATGAGCTTAAATGTGGACAAAAAGTTTAATTTTTTTCAAAATTACAAAGAAACGGCTCGGCCGATCGTCGCACAAAACTGAGAAACGATAATCCTCATCGAGATACATCAAATGCTTTTTAATTTCTGAAATCGGTTCAGGTGTTTTTGAGCAAACGTCGATGAAAGTTCTAATTTTGACAAATGCCAAAAAGACCATACTAATTTTGCAAACTTTGCTGAATTTTTGAAGCTAAACGAGTTGTCGTAATATTGTAGTATGATCAGGAAGACTATGATATTTACCGTCGAAAAAATAATCATAAAAATCGTCTATTTTTTTAAAAAAAAAAAAAAAAACTTTATTAGAAAAAAACAGGCCGGCCCATCTCTACCAAAACTAATCAGCACGATTCCCAACCAATATCTTTCGAACGGTTTTTGAATTTTCAAAATCGATTTAGAATTGCTGGCTAAAACGTAGATGAAATTTTTTTCACTTTTCTGCGATTTATAATGAAACGGCTTGGCCGATCGTCGCACAACAATAGTTCAATATGGCCGATCGTCGACAAACAATAGTTCTTATCGAGATACATCGAATGGCTTTTAAATTTTTGAAATCGGTACAGCCGTTTTTGAGAAAACGTCGATTTACGGCAGAAAATCTGTTCACATACACGCACACACATACTTTTTCCAAATTTGGTCTCGTTCGATTCAGAATGGCTTGAAACGTCAAGAAAACATAAAATTAGCGAATCGGATTTTTTTATGAAAACATAAACTTCTCCTTCGGGAAGTTAATAAAGCCGATCAGATTATTTATTTGCGACGATCAGCCGAGCCGTTTCTTAATAATTAGCAGATAAGTGCAAAATCTTCATCCACGTTTTAGACAAAAATCTTGAATTCTTATCCTGAACCTGAAGGTCTCAGTTTGGAATGGTGCTGATTATTTTTTTGGTGAAGATCAACCGAGCTGTATCGATGTAATTATTAAAATATTTTTTTTGCAAGTTTAGTGATAGACCTGATGAACTAAAGCAGGGCTTCTTAAACCATAGGTCGCGAGAGATTTTAATGTCAAAAGTTATATCAATTTATGCCAATACGTCATGATATTTTTATGTTTACAACACATTCTTGAACTATATATTTTCATATGTATATTGTTACCAAATAAATAAATCATTTAAAAATATTAATTTTTTTTTTTTATATGTGTGGGGGAAACTCGCAAGGGGGCGTCTATTAATCACGTGAGGTTTAGGAGCAGGGGGTTTGACAAAAAATCACTGGGGGAAGAAAGGGTATAGTAAGATATCACGTGTATTTATTTTTTACCTGATTTTTTTTAAATCCAAACATTTGCAAAAAAATTTAGTAACTAAAAATACACGTGATGTTTGGTGGAGGAAAGGGGGGTTATTTTGAATATAACCAAGGGGAAGGGGGTGGTCCAAAAATCCTTAAAAAATCGATCACGTGATTAATGACGCTCCCCAATCATAAATGGAGTCGCCAAGAAATTCGCAATCGTAAATGGGGTTTCGAAGAACAAAAGTTTAAGAAGCCCTGGTGTAAACAAAAATTACTTATTATTATATGTCCTAAAATCACGTCTTAGCATATGTCATATATTATAGGCATATGAAAAGTGGTTGAATTCCAAAAAAAAAACAATGTTTGAAAAAGTATGGAAGTGGAATTAGATAAAATAACAAAAATCATGAAATCACGTCTCAACAAATATCGTTAAATATTATAGGCCTATGAAAAGTGGTTGGAATTCTAAAAAAATCAATGTTTGAAGAAGTATGGTACTGGAAATAGATAGAATAACGAATAGAATAAAATAAATAAAGAATCGTACCCTAACAAGTATTGTTAAATATTATAGGCCTATGAAGAGTGGTTGAATTACAAAAAATCAAAGTTTAGAAAAAGATATATTTTCATTGAAGAGCAATCAAAACTTAAGGGCTTTATGAAATTGTGTGGAAATACGTAACTAACTACATCAATTTGTTATAGATGCAACCCAAACGGTTGGCCTAGATAAAATTTATATAAATATTATAAAATATATAATACGAATTGAGAACAAAATATTTTTTTAATTACTATATTTGTTACAACTGCTAAATAATTACCATCTATTATATAAATACAATTATATAAATTTAATAAAAAGAACAAAATATACGCATTTGAAATATATTTTCAACAAAATCACAAATATGTTGTAAAAAGTATATTGTAAAATTGAACGTATATTGTAAAAAGTATATTGAAAGTATATTGTTGTAAAATTGAACATTTTTTTCATTAAAAAAAAGATGATATACTTAAATATATAAATCGGTTCTTGAACGTTTAAATTATATCTAGCGAGACTGTGTTTTAAAACAAACGCTGAATTTGAAGCACACTAGCACCATCTGTGATACGCTGAAAACACTCACACAGAGTAAAGCGCATTTGTTCTTTTTACCCCCCATGGGCCTATCTCTACTTCTCAAATTTAAAGTTACAATTTCTGCAATATTGATGTATTGATGCAGCAATGCTATTTCTCGCTTGGAAACATATTGCTATCTTAATATATTTCCAAGTGGAAACCAATGCTACTACTGCTTGACATCAGGCTGACCGAGATGGGTGCAATCGAAAGTAGAAACTGATTTTAATAGTGATGTATTGATGCAGCAATAGCAATGCTCATTTTCTACTAGGTAACATATCTTAATATATTTCCAAGTGGAAACCAATGTTACTACTGCTTGGCATCAGGCTGTCCGAAACGGGTGCTATCGAAAGTAGGAACTCCGATTTTAAATGTGATGTATTGATGCAGCAATGCTATGCTCCACTTGGAAACATATTTCTATCTTAATATACTTCCAAATGGTAACTAATATTACTGTTTGGTATCAGGCTGCCGAGGATTGTGGTATCAAAAGTAAAAACTCTGATTTTAAAAGTGATGTGTTGATGCAGCAATGCTATGTTTCACTTCGAAATATATTGCTATCTTAATATATTTCCAAATGGTAACTAATATTACTGCTGCTTGCCATCAGGCTGTCCGAGACGGGTAGTAGAGATAGTAGGAACTCGGATTTCAATAGTGATGTATTGATGCAGCAATGCTATGTTCCACTTAGAAATATAATGCTATCTTAATATATTTCCAAGTGGAAACCAATGTTATTACTGCTTGGTATCAGGCTGCCGAGGATTGGGGTATCAAAAGTAGGAACTCTGATTTTAAAAGTGATGTGCTGATGCAGCAATACTATTTTCAACTTGGAAAAATATTGCTTTCTTAATATATTTCCAAGTGGAAACCAATGTTATTACTGCTTGGTATCAGGCTGCCGAGGATTGTGGTATCGAAAGTAGAAACTCTGATTTTAAAAGTGATGTGTTGATGCAGCAATGCTATGTTCCACTTCGAAATATATTGCTATCTTAATATATTTCCAAATAGTAACTAATATTACTGCTGCTTGCCATCAGGCTGTCCGAGACGGGTAATAGAGATAGTAGGAACTCGGATTTTAATAGTGATGTATTGATGCAGCAATGCTATGTTCCACTTAGAAATATAATGCTATCTTAATATATTTCCAAGTGGAAACCAATGTTATTACTGCTTGGTATCAGGCTGCCGAGGATTGTGGTATCGGAAGTAGAAACTCTGATTTTAAAAGCGATGTATTGAATCAGCAATATTATTTTCCACTTGGAAAAATATTGCTTTCCTAATATATTTCCAAATGGAAACTAATGTTACTACTTGACATCAGGCTGCCCGAGACGAGTGATACCAAACGTAGGATCTCTTATTTAAATTCCATCATTCTAAACACTTGCATACGGCGAGCCCAAATCAAATTACATCTATTGTAATTTTATATTGAAAATAGTATTGAATTATATGTAAACAAATACGTTCAAAACAGATACAATAATAAGTTAATTATATTTCAGTTTAATTTATTTATATCTTCATTCTACGTTATTAAATTAAATCTAAATCGAAAATAAAGAGAATTTCTTTTAATATTCGTCAAAAATTTAGGACAGAACGAAAGTATTTGCTTGAATACATTTCAATGGTGTACGAGCATTATGATCTCTGCTCTACTTTTGTCTTTTAGTGACTGTCGTCCGAAAACAAAATTAAAAGCAGCGATTCAATATGTATGCCAACATGGTTAATTGTAATCAAATTAAATAAATTACAAAACTATGTTTATATAAAATGTATGTAAATGTGTGTAAAGCTAACAAAATGCATCAATAAATCATTACCTTTCATTTTACTCTTGGTCAATTAATTTTAGGTTATAATGAAATACTGATCAACACAATTCTTTGCCAATGGCTAGTACTCACTTATAACAAATAAACAAAATTATTGCTAAGGACTACCTATTTACCTTCAAAATGGTTTGGAATTGCGCAAGAAAAATAAACACATATTTAAGCACACCAAATGACAGCTCTATGTACCACTAATATAATTAAAAAATATACGGAAAATCTCATAGAAATACATGCAATAAATAAAATTAGTTCATACCTTCTTTATCCTTCAGCTTTCGGTCATTATCCTCAGACATTTTTCAGTCGCCAAAATTTTTCAAATTCAGTCTTTTTTTCTTAACCACTTAAATACTTTAATGATATATATTATTCCTAACTAATTACTTATTATTATATGTCCAGTTCCTCTCGGTACTTGAATATCACAGACAATTCGCTTATTTCACATGTAAATCACACTAAACGCATATAAGGTACGTATACATAAACAAAACTACACTGCTTTTTGTTTTTGTCGAAGGATCGATCCCGTATCAATTCGATCTGAATCGAAAACAAAATATTTATTTCATTCGATCATAATACCTTTCGAGTAGATTCGATTCTTGATTTAAATTCAACTAGTACGTTTAACACTTATTTTTATTGCAAATTAGAAAACGGACGCCATATGCTTTTAGTGTGCAGTTTTGTTACGTTTGGTACGTTCGACTTGGTATATGCCTGCTTTGACTTGCGGGCAATACTAGTGCGCAGCTAGCGGATTCGGCCAATAGGAACGCGAGCCGATGACGAGAGAACGGCGCGCGCTATTCGGGGCGCCAATTACGAATTGTTCGATTTATTTATTCATTTTTCTTATCAGTAGGCTAAGCCCATAAGGCATTTGTTTATAAAGCCAATAATAAAAAAAAGAAAAACAATTTAATATCGGAAAATTAAATTCGAAATTAGATGTTTGATAATGCTCTACTAAAAATTATCTGCAAATTGAATTAGAAGTCTAAATATAATAAATATACTTGAAAATTAATAATATTAAAGGCATAATTTTAGTCTAAATATGGAAAATACAACTACAGTAGAACTCCAATTATCCGAACTCCGACTATCCGAATTCCAATTATCCGAACTCCGACTATCTGAATCGCCGATTATCCGAATCACTTTCAGAAAAAAAATTGTCCAAAAAAAGTCTAAGTGCGCTATTATTCTTCCACCAGCAAAGCCAGTGTAGGCACATTGTTTGTTTTGATTTGACGGAGATGTTTACAAAACAATGATTTTTATTTCTAAACTTGTACATAAGTACATTTTATTTATATTTAAAACATGTGAAAATGTCATGTTTCTTTCATTTAATTCAATAAAAAAATAGTGCAATATCAAAACGTAACTTTTTTTCTCTCTAATGGCAATTTTAAAAAAAAAACTCCGATTATCCGAATATTTGATTATCCGAATGGGTCCTGGTCCCCATTAATTCGGATAATTGGAGTTCTACTGTATATCAAAATTGTATCTTGTTGTCAACGCACTCATAAAATTTCATAAATAGTAGTATCAACTCATTGCCAGTAAATGTGTAATATACTTATATATTTGATTTTTTGTCACATTTATTAATTTTGCCGTGTATTTTCAATTTAAAAATTAGTATAAATCAGTTTTTAAACACAAATACACTTAGCAAACATGATTCTGACATTCTTAGTAAACATTATTCTTAAATAATTACAATACATTTTTCTTCACAATATTCAGTAACAACTAAAATTAAAGTTGGATATCTGATATAAAATAGTTTAGCAGATATTCATAACGTTACATATTTATACTTTGTTCAGAATTATATATTTTTATGTTTAGTCATAAGTTATATATAATATATTTATTTGAACGTAACCCTAAGTAACTGTAAATGTTTCTAATATTTAGTACATCTGCAAGACGACCCTCGGCAAGCTATCATAAAACTAGAAATATTGGGAAATATTTTAGAAATGTAAAAATATAAAGTTAGTTCTGAACTGTTGATGAAGTAACATCTAAAATATTATAATAAAGCGCTAAATAAATTCTTTGATTTCACACTTCCAGAAGAACTGCAAATGTTCCAATTCTCATTATTATGTATTCCAAATAAAACTCTAATCTACTCAAGAAATTATTAAAAATTAGTTACATCTAATTACTTTAATTAGTAAATTTATTACTAATGTCTCTTTCACTTATATTACAAGTACAACAAGTACTTATAATTATTTTATTCTCTTTAAATATAATAATAAAAGATGATTATATAAAACCTCATATTTTTATTACAAAACAATAAACAAACATGATAAAATCTATAAATAGCAAATTATTACAAATCTGTACAAAAATATACTATAAAAAATCAAAGTTTCAGAGAATATTTCAGATAAAAATCCCATATAATATTGTCATGGGCAATGTAAAAAAACTGTACAAAAAATCCAGAAATGTTCAAAAATATATGACCCCTCATCAATACACAGAAATGACAAATTTTATACAATAATACAGTCTCTAAACTTCAAGAAATATTCCAGATAAAAATCCTTTATAATATTTCCATCATAGGGAGAAACGTGTAAATATTAACAAAATTTAGCTTAATATCTGATGTAGTAATTGAAAGGTTTCATATAAAAATAGTTACACTAAATACTTCTTGAACAACTCAACAAAATCATCCATCTCTGGAAATTTTTCTTTACGTGGTGGGCCCCTTTTTAAACCTGACCAAATCTGCACTTCTTCATCCCCATTTTGCAAAGTGAATTCAAAAGAACCTCTTCTTGGTTTGGAATCTAAATGTTCATTTAATGAAAACTCAAACTGCTTTTCGGGGAAGTTCTCCTCTAAGGCTTTGCAGTAAGCATTTGCCTTAGAGCGGAACACTCGTCAGGAAACACAGTGTTCAATGATTATTTTGATAATATTCTTGGTAACTGTTTTTGAGGTCGCAGGGGTAGTCGAGGAAGGTTTTGGATCTTGAATTTCTGGTTTCACTGACTGGATTTCCTAGAAGAAATAAGTGTTTATAAATAACTGTAGTTATGATGCACTAAATGAAAATCTTAATGATAGATTACAAAGATATAACAGACTATCATATTGTGATGAGAAAGATGTATTTGGGGGCAATGCTGCTATGTAGTAAAATTTTATCATCGCTCCATTCAAAGAGGTCACCTTAGCATTCTAACTCAACCTATAAATACATTTGTATTTACCTGTGGAGGTTATTAACTAAGGAATGAAACCAAAATTACTTTCATACTTAAACCTATTTAATAACTTAAAATAATTACAAGTATGTATTTATGGACATCACTGTATTCGCATACAGTCATTTCATAATTTTTACTTAATGCTATTGTGGGTGTATGAGGAAAATAGCTACAAAACAATATATTATCTGACTTTAGCATTGAAGTATTCCAGGGCTAGCGCCCATAGGATATGTATGGCACCTAAGCAGAGAACTAAAAGAATCTTGCTGTCTGGATCTCAAAAAAACTATCCATTTCGAGCCCTAATTATTATATAGATTAAGGGCAGGGCTGGTGTTCTCTCAGGTTAATAGTATTTCAGTATGTCAAAATATACATGCTTATAATTCACTAATAGTCCACTCATTATAGTAAGTTCACCTCGGAATTGGAGATACCCAGCTGTAAGTCTGTAAATTCTTGTATATTGACACCTAAAAGTTGTCTCAAAACCTACATATGCTGCATACACCCTACCATATGTAGGTTTTGAGACAACTTTTTGGTGTCAATATACAAGTATTTACAAACTTACAGCTGGGTATCTTGAATTCCCAGATACTTACTTAATTTAAGCTTAATTGACTAGACTATAATTCCATGTTCATAAGTGAATTATAGTTAAAAATTTCTAGTATAAATGTTTTATGAATATTTCAATAACAAACTAGGGGTAAGTGGCATTTTGTCTTAAGGCAAATCGCATAAACTTCATAATATGTAAAACAATCAGAAACATAAAAAAATAATATAATAATTTATGAGTAATTTATAAGTATGCTGAGTTGCTGTAGATTTTTTTTAACCCTTTAAAATTAAAAATAAGACATTGGATCTGTTTGCCTGTCCCATTTTACCCTGCCTATGGGGTAAAAAACATAGGATACAAAATTTTGAAAAATAGAAAAAAAAAAACAATTCTACTATCATAAATTAACTGAGAGTTTACTGAAGATAGTCAGATAGTTGTTTGTTTTGTATGTGTTATTTGTTGTGATGTAATTGGTTTGGTTTTTACAACATAATTTCTCAAAATCAAATTGGATCTTTGTGCCCTTTGGTGGAAAAGTTTTAAATTTAAACGTGTTTAAAGATATACATATTGTAGTTTTTACAAATTAGGTTTATGATCTTGTTCTCACAATATAATATCATATTTTTTACTCATGATTAACTTAAATAACAATTAATTAGAAGAATGATTAGGTCCATTTAATTTTTGCAGCCCTTTAATATTTGAATATGTTATTTAAGACTAGGAATTCTCTTGCCATTCAATGGTTGCATTAAAATACTCCAAAAAATATTTTCTTTAACAATTATTACTGATATTTGCTAAAAACTAATTAGCAGCAAAATCTTTTGTACAATTTTTAAATTATTAAAATCGATGTAGGATTTTTGACTGAAACATGGACAAAAGTTTTTTCACTTCCAGTTACAAAGAAACGGCTTGGCCGATAATCGCGGAAAACTGATCAACATTAGTTCTTAGACTAGTGTTCGACTTATAGTCCAGTCATTTAAGCTTAAATTAGGTAAGAATTTCGGAATTCGAGATACCCAGCTGTAAGTCTGTAAATACTTGTATATTGACACCCTAAAGATGTCTCAAAACCTACATATGATATTGACACCCTACCATATGTAGGTTTTGAGACAACTTTTAGAGTGTCAATATACAAGTATTTACAGACTTACAGCTGGGTATTTCAAGTTTCGAGGTGAACTTACTATAATGACTGGACTATTAAATCAAATGGCTTTAAAATTTATGACATCGGTTCAGTCGTTTATGAGAAAACGTTAACAATCGTCTCACGTACACAAACACACTTTTTCTAAATATGGTCTACGATTTAGAATTACTTAAAACGTCGAGAAGACAAAATTAACAAGTCGGATTTGTTCGTGAAAACGAACTTCTCCTTCGAGAAATTTATAATAACGAATACCTTTAATAATAATTTCGTATACCTTATCTGTTTTTTTATTGTCACTTTCATTTTCTTCACTTTTTTTCGCCGAGGTTAACTGACTTCTAGTCTTTCTGGCTGCGGTACTTAATTTAGAACTGTCAACTGTATTAGATGTTTCTGATAATCTTTTAACTTTCTTCTTCGGCATCTTGAGAAATACTCAAAAACTATAATAAATAAATTTATGGAAATGGTAATTCTAAATATTGAACATTTTCTTCTCAAACTACCTGTTAACGAATGGTTGTCAGGCGTCCGCGCTATTTTGCAGAGGATACCAACCTATAAAGAGTGGTACCAACTGACAAAATTTGTTTCTGTGTAGTCAGTGATGAAAAACATTTCGTGAGAAGTCCAGAGATAAATAAGCAAACTAGTTGAAAGTGGCATTTAGCCTTAAGGCAAGTTGGCTGAAGTTCTTGAAATGTGTAAGAATTGACTTAGTCAATCGAAATTGAAATTTAGATATTTAGATTAAATTTTCAACTGTTTATTTCAAAAATAAAGTTATCGCTTTCAATTATTGCGATTTCGAATAGAATTTTCTCAATCGCATTTGAATTAACTGTAATTAAATTAATTATATTGCACAAACACGTGCTTATAGATCCTAAAATTGTAGCATATTATTTTCAATTTTAATGAATTGACAATGTTTAACTCATCGCATCACAAAACAAATATAATATTATTAATATACTATAATATTTTTTCAAAGTTTGATGAATTTTTAACATTAAACTATTTGCGGTAGGGTCGTAACATTTTAGTATGTTTTATAAGACCAGGATATGTATTGCCAAAAAAGGTTCATAAAAATCGACATTTTTTTTTAACAGTTAATTTCATGAAAACGGCTCGGTAGATTTTCACCTAAAACTAATCAGTATCATTCCCAACCAATATCTTTCAAACAGTTTTTGATTTTTTTAAATCGATTTAAAATTGAAAGCTAAAAAGTGGACGAAAATTTTTTCACTTTTCTCCTATTTACAAAGAAATGGCTCAGCCGATCGTCGCACAAAACTGAGAAAAGATAATCCACATTGAAATACATCGATTGGCTTTTAAATTTTTAAAATCGGTTCAGTCGTTTTTGAGCAAACGTCGATGAAAGTTCTAATTTTGACAAACGCCAAAAAAACGATACTAATTTTTGCAAACTTTGACGAATTTTTAAAGCTAACCAGTTGTCGTAGAGCCGTAATATTTTAGTATGATCTAGAAGACTATGGTATCTACCACCAAACAAAATTCATAAAAATCGTCGAAAAAAAATTTTTTAACACTGTTACAAGAAAACGGTCCGGCTGATCTTTATGAAAAACGATTCCTAACCAATATCTTTTGAACGGTTTATGAATTTTCAAAATGGATTCAGAATTGCGGGCTAAAACGTGGATAATTTTTTTTTTCACTTTTCTATTTACAATAGTCCGTTCCGGCTTTGCCGATCATCGCACAAAACTGATTAACGATAGTCCTCATCGAGATACATCGAATGGCTTTTAAATTTTTGAAATCGGTCCAGCCATTTTTAAGAAAACGTCAACGAAAGGTCAAAAATTTGTTCACACAAGCACACGCATGCTTTTTCCAAATTTGGTCTCATTCGATTCAGAATGGCTTGAAACGTCGAGAAAACAAAATTAGCCCATTGGATTTTTTGATGAAAACAAACTTCACCTTCAGGAAGTTAATAATACATAAGTAAATCATAGGTATTATAAGGTCTATGCAGGAGTCTCAAAAATGAATTTTACACATATAATTAAACTATATTCTAAAATGTCATTTGATCTTAAAATATGATGTATTTTCTCTGACGATGTAAAGTCAAATAATTTTGAAAATGTAAAATCTAACTAACAATAGATATAATCAAATTGTATAAAATTCATTTCTCTTCAAAAACATTATTTAGTTGAAAAACAATAATAATAAATGTGCTTAACATTAACAGCATGAATAAAATAAATTTAATTATCAAAATAATTTATTCATATTTCCTAAATAACAAAAATAGTAAGTAACTTTATTCATCTTCATGATGATTACTTTTACTGTGTTTCCTATGTTTATGAGTTCGACTGCTTCGTGAATGTGATCTAGACTTTTTCTTCGATTTCTTCATTTTGGGAGGGCTTTCATCTGATGCAGAATCTGACCTGTATCAATACAACAGAATATATAATAATGCTGTAGATTACAATTATTTTTTTAATAAAATATACCTTTTTCTTGATCGCTTACTACTTTTATGTCTGCGTGATGATTCTTTTTTATCAGAACTATGTTTCCTACTTTTTCTATGTACACTTTCCTTAGGATCTTCAGATTTTAAATGATTTAAAAATTCCATTGCACGTTTTTTACGTTCTAACTGCAGTTTTTTTACATTATTTCCAGATGATTCATCAATCAATCCATTCTCTCGCAAAATTGTCACTATAAAAAATAAAATAGATATATTATGAATAAGATAGAATATTAAATATGATATTTGTAATACCTTCATCATCACAATTAGGTTTTACAGAGTCATTAGTCAAATCTATACATTCATTTTCAACAGCTGTCATTTCAGAATGAAATTTTTTATCCTTGTTTTCTATACATTGATCTTCTGTTGAATCCCCATTTGTTTCATTTTTTACTAACTCTGGTGTACTTGCATTTGATAATTCAGGGTCAGATGATATCACCATTTCGTCATCTACAATATTCGTTTCTGAACTTGGGCTGTTAACTTTTTCTTCGTCTTTCTTATCATCAATTGATGATATTTTAGTTTCTATACTTTCTCTATTGTTTTCTTGTTTAACTTTAGCAGTATTTGTACATTCTTTAATAGTTTCTACTACATTTGTTTCATTATTTGCGACATAACTGCTACTTTCTATTTTTGAAATATTCTTAGTTTGTTCTTCATCCTCATCACTATCTTCAAGCGGCAACGCTGGCTTGGTAATAATTTGTTCTGGTTCTTTAGGCTTTTTGATCGTAAACGATACTGGAGCTGCTGAATAAATTTTATTTTTACAATATACTCATGCATTTCAAATATATTGGCAAAACTACAAGACTACTTTACCTATAATTTTTGGTTTCTGCTGTTGCTGTTCTTCTGGTGTTTCATCATCTTTCTTTTCAACATCTTCAGAACTATTTTCACAACCGTTATTGATAATCTTTCCCATTGAAATCAGCTGCGCATTTAATTTAGTTTTGTAAAAAGTGTGATATTGATGAGTAGGTGTTAAGAAGTTGAAACGAGGATCCTTTTTGGCTAAAAGATAAAATAAAAATTAAAAACATATAAACAATTAACTTGCTATCAGGTTAGCAACTAAAACATTTTTTCAGAGGTATTTTACATTTGAACTACAACAGCAAACCTAAAAATTCAATTCAATTGAAACCATCTAAAAGTGAAAACTAACCTAAAACAAACACACATTCATTCTCATTCATTACCTTTAACAATTTCCTCAAACTCTTTTCCATTTTTAGCAACATATATAGCCATTTTAACAATGATCAATTTCTCAGCATCGGGTGGAATGGGTACAAGATTTTCTACTTCTATTTCGCTATCACTATTATCACTATCAGTATTATAGTAATGAGCCAAGGCACCAATTTGGAGTTTTGGTTTTGGTGCCTTGACCGGTTCATTTTCAACAACGGGTTCAGCAACACTTGGAACAGCAGCTTTTTCGGTATTTTCTGGGGGATTATCTGGTGGCATCGGTGGATTACTTTGTAAATACATGACTGGAGGTTTCTGAATTGCATTGTTGTAATCCAGTGATAAGGGATCAATGCCATAAGTAGCATAATAATAATGTCTGCAAAATAAATGAATCAACATTAAAAAATGAATCAACATAAAATATGCACTAAATTAGTAATTATATAAGTTAATTTCAATATAGACTAAGTAAAATCTTAATAATTCATGTATTTGAGAGATATAATAAGTTGCAATGTTTAATAGTGCAAAAATTTACAATGTTATTATATAGCTGAATCTAAATTTCAGTTGACTAAGTCAACCATTCCTTACACGTATCTGGAGTTCATGAATTGCCTTAAGATGAATGCCACTCCTCCTTTTTTCTTTCATAATTTGAAATAGTTACATTTTTGACTCACCTATAATATTCTTGATACTGTTCACTATTATAATATTGATTCCATTGATTAACATAATCTTCACTACTAGCATTAGTATTAGTGTCATTAGATTCTACTTTTTCAGGTTGTTTATCTAATTCTACATTAACATTGGACTCTTTTTCAGCTTCTGGCGTTGTTTCTGTTGTTGTACTGGTGCCTTTAATTTTATTAACTAACATTGAATAAGCACAATCTGCCGATGGTTTGTAGTTTAACGTTGGAATAGAAGGTAAAGCGGGAGCCTAGAAGAAAAACTTTACTATTTAATTGTTCTCTAAAACTTCATTTCGATAAAATATTTTTCAGTCTCTCTTAGTATATAGAAGAGTAGAATATCTACTATAATTAACAGTATAATCTATTCTATAATATAATATCCATCTACTATAATATAATACTATATAATATAATAAGTTACAATACAAAACTATATTTGTATGAAGAAAATATTGCCTTTAAGAACTACTTTATTATTTTAAATTAACTATATAACAGAATACTACAAAAATTCAAATTACACAAAATTGTTACACCATTTGAAAATAAAAAAAAAAAAAATTATTTGAATTATAAACATTAAAAATTTTGCTGACATACCGAGTCAACCTTAGATATATTTGAGGCGAGACTGGGGTGAAGGTAATATGAAGCTTCATCTTCAGAATGTTGTGTTGATTCTGAAAAAGAAGAATATAATTTCTAAATAGTTACAACTTGTTTCCATAAAATTTCATTGTTTTGTTACCCTTTTCAGGTTTTTCTGGAGCCTCTGTATATTTATAACGACCAGTTTTGATTGCCATTAAAACATGCCTATAAAATGCAAATAGTTCATTGTCATGATTTAAAAATTCAAACTGTGGGTTGTGTTGCTGTTTTGCTTTCAATAAAATTTCCATTTGACCGCCTTGTTGAGCAATAAAATTTGCTGTTCTTTCAAGAATAATAGCTAATTTTTTGTTAGGAGGCTGGAAAAAATATGAAGTATTAGAATTAATTTATAAGCAATGTTAATTTATGGTCCTATTCTCGGATGCACATTTTATGCCGAAGTTATACTTATGTTGTTATTAGTGTAACAGCCAATAATTATAAATATTATGATGTAATTATTATAATAAACTAGTTGTGACGTTTTACCTTGAGGCGAGTTGTATGAACCAACATGTATAAATAATTGACTTAATGAGAAAACAATATATTAATTTATGAATGATTTATACTGCTGTAAAGCATCATGAAGTAAAAAACTTTTACAGATTATTTAATTTCAATAATAAACACGTGCCTAATATATACAAAGAGTATGTTCTAAAGTATAACAGCAAATAATTCTAATTTTAATAAATGATATAATGTAATTTGTAATACTAGCACATTGAGAGACCATATTAAGAAAATAAGATTTAGCAAAATGTGCACCATAAATACGAATGCACAATTGTTAAAAAAAATATTATGTTTCCAAAAGAGATGTAGCATAACATAGGTAAGTTGTCCGAGAATTGGCCTAATAATTAGTAAAAACGTACTAGTTTCATATTAATTGGAATATCTAAATTGGTTGGTGGTACATAAGGCTCATTTTCATCTAAATCCGTGGATTTAGAAGTATCTTCAGGTTCATCATCACCACCACCAACATCTGAATAATTGAATGGCACTTGTCCATACACTTTCACATGATCTTGTTGTTGTGCCCTCTTCATTACCTCTTCTGCAAATAAACATTTGAACAATATTAATTTTTACTTTTCTAATATTTCAGAGTTAAAAATTTGCTTTACAAGTACCTTTATATATTTCTTCTTCTTCCGACCGCTCATACAACGCTCTGTACCTCTCTTCATCGCAAAGCTGTTCTGCTCTTCTTTCTTCATCACTAAGTCCTTCATTGTAGTCCCAATGTGATATAGCTTCATGGGCTTGGAGATCCGCTAGGGCTCCACGTCCATCATATCTGTGATTGCGGTTGAAAACCGTCCAGGAAAATAAAACCCGATATAAGAATAAACTAAATTTTGAGAGCCATAATACATACTTGAAAAAAACTTTGTCCTAATTCTGGATTTGCAAAGAAATAATAAGTTATGTACATTTATTAAGGTGACCAATGAGTTTTAAACATAAAAATTATTAAACGAAATGTATGAACAATGTTTTAATGTTAATTTTGAAAAATTTCTATGAAGCTAGCATGAAAAAATATATAATAACATGGCAAAATGTTATATATGGGTAGTCATCCTTATCACGTATAAAACATTCTCAGCAATATATCTTTCAATTGATTTGTAGTCTAAGAGCCAGTGAACTATTTGACTAACCCGTTTTCACAAAGCTAGAATTTTTTCGTATGATATTTTATTATCGACCCATTAAAAAAGTACCATTCTGGCAGTCATTCCGTGGTTGCATCATCATCCCATCAATTTTTAAAAATGGCAAAAAAAATGTTTTCATAACTTGCTCCCACAAGGCTCAAATTTTGAGGGTGTATTCTTTAACTGTTCAGAAAGTATATGTAAACAGCCAGTCCATTCTGACGGTTGCAAGGATCTGCCAGAAGAGTACATAAGAATACATTGAATTCGTTCGGTCGGGAAGCAGTGCGCGATGCGGGCAGGACTGGTTTGTTACATTTTTCAATGTGTTCCACAAATTTGATTTGAACAATAAACCAGAAGCCTGCCCGCATAGCGCACTGCTTCCTGATCAAACAAATTCTATGTATTTTTATGTACTCTTCTGGCAGACCCTTGCAACCGCCAGAATGGGCTGGCTGTTTACATATACTTTCTGAACAGTTAAAAGAATACACCCTCAAAATTTGAGCCTTGTGGGAGAAAGTTATGAAAAAAAGTTTTTGACATTTTCAAAAATTGACAGGATGATGACGCAACCATGGAATGACTGCCAGAATGGTATTTCTTAATGGGTTGATAATAAAATATACAAAAAATTTCTAGCTTTGTGAAAACAGGTTAGTCAAATAGTTCACTGGCTCTTCTACTGTTGGTTTTGTATGGAAATGGTCACCTTATATATACACCTATATTGACAAAATTAAAAAATAGTGTTCCAAAAACATAAATACATATCCTTTTCAATCCTGTAATTTTTTACAATAGAAGAAATCTGGTGCCATTCAGCTAGTTTTATACATACCAAACTATCTGATAGAACTTTCATGGGAAGTTCTGGAATCCTGGAAAATTCATCCCAACCTTTTAACAACCTTGATGATGAATGAAAACTTCTGCGAAAATCTTAATCATTATTAATTCAAATGTTAAGTATGAAAACACATTTAACATCGCCTTTGTCTGGGTAAAAACTTTGGTTATGTAAACTTTATAAGGCATATTTAAGAGAGAACAAATAGGAAAAGTTGTTAACCTGTCTATTTTCACTTTCTCATCCCCCATCCATGGTATAAGATGTTTTCCTTGGTCGATTGACAAAGCCTTTTCGTCATCTCGAAATAATTTACAAGAATAACCAAAAACCAGCAATTCTTCCACATCAGGAGCTTTATGCTTTCGCAAAATTCCAGAATCTGCGCTACTCCACGGTTCAGTCATAATCGATATTAATGCCGCACTTCAATAAAATATAATCTAAAACATTACAAAAATAAACTATCGTACCGAAAATCGGCCTTCATTTTTTGACAAATTGAAAAACAATGATAGGCTGATAGGCATACTACTTGACAGTCTTGACACAAACACAGAGTGTTGCCGTACACGAAAGAATTTATTCGATATTTCTACAGTAAAGTCACACAAAAGCGAATTATCGCTTAACGTTTCGAGGCTAGATGTGTCTCATCATTCAGCTAAAAGAAAATATACAATACAAGGAAAAAAAAGTATGTCAAAAAATTTTCGTTTTCGATTTTTTTCTACAGGAAGTTAACAAGCAAGGAAGAATTTTTTGATAGTAGAATCTTCGATGATGCATTATCATAAGCATAAGAGAGCGTTGCCATGACAACACTATTTTATGAGCTATGTTATGGCAGTATTGCCCCATTATTGGTGCTTCACATTTTTATAGAATCTTGTATACACTGAAGATGAGTCAAATCAAGCTTCGAAACGTATGCTATTATAATAAAAACATTCTTCTTTATTATTTTTTTAATTATTGAATGGATGCCTAAAAACATTTCATCGCATATCTATAACCGAGAGAGCCAGCACAAATCAATGATTCCCTTACTCTTCGTCGTCTATCATTCC